GCAGAATCAAGACCATGAATTGTAGGCATTGTCTGGGTGAGCTGTAGGGGAAGGCGGGACCAAGAGGGAGGAGGGCCCTAGGACTGACCATTGGAACAGCTGTGCAAGACCTAACCAGAGCACACAGGAGCTGACTGAGGAGAGTCAGGGCCAGAGCTGTGGATGCTTGGTAGCAGGAGAAATTGAGGCAAGGGTGCGGCTTTCCTGGGTCAGGCTCCTGCTCTTCAGCTGGATCCTCTCTCTGGGGCTTGCTGTCTGGTGTCTAAGACCCCAGTCCAACTTGTGGGTAGGTTACAAGGTCACTGGTCTGACCCTGTAGGGTCTTACTTAGGCCACTGCCTAACCTACGAATCTTGCTGTGATGAGCCAGCAGGAGAGGGAGACAGAGGAGGATGAGGGAGGGGGTGGTTCTGACATGACACCCATGCTTCCCCGGAGGCTCTCTGACCACCAGACATCCCCAGGGTGGGCAGGTCTGGCCACAAGGGGACTGGGGACCCTATTGCTGCCCAGTCGGACACTGGCTGGACTCCTGCTCCACCTGCTGCTGCCTGCGATGGTCTTCCTGCTGATGCTGTTACCTGCAGCTGCCATTGTCTACCTGGGTTTCCTGTGCCACTCCAGGGTGAGCTGAGCCCTCCCAGGGTGGGAGACTGCCTAGGCCCAGGGGAGGCATCCTGCAGAAGCTCAGGGTCTCTGGGTTGTAGCTGAACCCACTTCCTACCAACCTGACCCCTTGCCCCCAGGGAAACATGTGCCCTTCTGTAGAGAGTCCCTTTATTTGCCACCTCCCTCACTGGCTATAAAAGAAGGGCTATTGTCTTCACCCCAGGAAGCAACTCTCTCTTCTCCCCTCCCCTGAGATCTCCAAGCCTTGTACCAGGGGCCACCAGGCTGGGACAGCTGGGTGGGTGTGGGGAGAGAAAGATCTTCCAGGAAAAGAGGATGAAAATATAGCCATAGCCAAAGCCCCTCCCAGGTTCTCCTTGAGGAATGGGTTGTGGCTTGGTCTAGGACAGGATGTAGGTAGATGAATTCCTGGTCCCTTCTCTCTAGGCATAGGATGGGGAAGGGCTGAACTTGGGGACGGTCAGGCAGAGCTAAGAGCCCAGCAACCGGTAGGACCTTGGTCAGATGCTACCACAGATGTCAGGTGGGAATAGGAGAGGGAGGGAAGAGAGGGCTAGGGCTCCAGAGGGCAATTTTCTTAACCTCCTTGCAAGGGACCCTCAGACTAGCCAGGGTTCCCGATTTCCCACTAATCTCACTGTCTGGCCCCCAGTCACCTTCGGACTCCCCACATCATCTGACCTCGGTCCCGCCCCCAGGTCGAGTTCTCTTGGGACTTGACAGCTAGCCCCGCCTCCTGGTCCGTCCGTTTTCATACCACACCCGCAGGAAGACCCTGCGTGCAGACCCCGCCCCCTACCTTCCCGGTCCTGACCCCAGTCTCCACAAGGCCACGCCTTTATTCCTACCCACCGGGTCTTCAAGACCTCGCCCCCTTCTGCGGCCCTGACTGCGCGCCCGGTCCCTAGGTCCACCCGGCGCCCCGCCCCCCGTGCCGTGCTATGCTCTCGGACCGCGGCTCCGCGACGCTCATCGTGTTCGGCTTTCTCTCACTGCCGCCGCTGCTCGTGCTCGCCTCGGCTGCTCAAGCCCGTCTGGCCCGACGCCTCCATCCGCTGCTGCAGCCCCCATCCTGGACCCATGGGCCCCACCACCACCCGGAGTCCAGGAGCGGGGAACTGATGGACCATGGCCTGGACGAGGCGGGGCAGTTTTGTTACTGAGTGGGACCCAGAGGACTCTCGAGACCTTAAAATCTCGGAGTTCCTTGAACTGCTTCTGTCCCCTATAAAGTGATCGCACACTGGTGGACCCCAGGATCCCGCGGGGAAATCACTCCATGCGCAGTGACTCTAATGGCCAAGAGATGGCGCCGGACTCTCCAGTGCTGAGCCTGACCTACCCAGAACTTCTCCCTACAATGGTCGCCTCTTCCTTGTTGCATAGTGGTCATGAAGGCCTTAGGGAAGAGGGAGATGGCCCTCAGAGAAGGATAAGGCTTAAGTAAACAAGCAGGTTTCTTCTATTGGCATTTCCAGCAAGTTTCAGAGATGGTGAGCCTTGCTTGGGATTGTTTCATAATCCCAGCGGGTCGCCAGCAGCAGGACTCATGCTTTGGCCAGGGTCAAAGTTGTTAAGTGCCGTCGAATCGGTTCTGACCTATAGCGACCCTGTATAGGGTTTCCAAGGAGCAGCTGGTGAACTAGAAACGCAGACCCCCGACCCTGCTGTTCCAACCGATTTTGCATTCCAGCACATTAACCCACAGCGCCACACCAGGACTCCCTCCCAGGCAGATTATAAAGGCTAAATTAACTTTCTCTGGATAAACTAAAGATCTCTCCTAAAGATCTCTCATTATCTTTGGTGTTCTTTTGTTTTACCAGCCTTTGTATGAATATGCTTTTTTGTTTGTTTGGTATGTGTGTGTTTCCTATTTCTATAGATTAATATTTTTCATTAGTTCTGGAGAATTCTCAACTATTTTCACTTCATTATTGCCTCTCATTCATTTTACCTGGTTTTTCTTTTGTTAAGTCCTGTGGAGCCAGACTCATATTGGCCCTACATAGGGTTCCAAAGAGTGACTGTTGAGTTTGAACCTTCGACTTTATGGTCCCTGGTGCATTATCCTCACAACCCCAACATATTTTTCTTGGTAGGGTAGTAGTTAGGAGTCGGGCTGCTAACCTCAAGGTGAGCAGTTAGAAACTACCAGCCGTTCCGCGGGAGAAAGATGAGGCTTTCTGCTCCAATAAAGATCTACAGCCTAGGAAACCGTATGCAGGGTCACCACCACCACCAGCTGTAAAAGCATGTTTCACAGTCCTGTTAACTCTCATGTCAGTTCATCTCTGTTTTGTATCTGTCTGCTCTCTCTGCTGCATTCTGGGTAATGTCTTTTGTTTTTTTTTTAGTGAATATTTACTAATAAAAGTTTAGAACTCCTCAAACAAAACAATATAAAAGCACTACTCACTATTGATGAACTTTAAGAAAGAAATGGCTCAAATAACATACACACTTAATGCCATATAATTCTTAAAGAAGTTTCTCTTAGGTTCTAATTTTTCTCATTTTAATTTTACCCCTGTATTCACAAGGCTCTTAAATGATGTAATCTATCTTGAGGTAAATAAGGTGTTAATTTTTCCTGATACCCATCAGTTTACTGAAATAGATTCAAGTTTTTTCATTTGAGTAAATTGTTTTTATGGCTCAGGAATATGGTCTCTCTTGGTGAATGTTCCATGTGCACTTAAAAGAATGTCTTCTGCTCTTATTAGATGGTATTGTTTTTGCTAGCTGACAGCAAGTCAATCTCAACTTATAGTGACCCCAGGTAACAGAAAAACTGTCCCACAGGGATACTAAAGGTTCCCGAGGAGCAGCTGGTGGGTTTGAACTGCCGACCTTGTGATTCGAAGTCCAGTGCTGACCCAGGAATCCACTAATGGTATATTGAGTGTATGGTAATTTTTCATTGTTATCTCATCCCTGTGGTAATTCTGAGGTTTACCTTGGGAATTTTCCTTCCTTCACTTTTTTTTTTTTTTCTTTAACTGTTTTATTGTGAATTATGTGATAGTTCACATGAGAGAACATTAGCTTTACATTCATCCTATAGTATATCATGTATATTGTTTCATTGCCATGGTTACAATCCCTCCATGCATCATCAACCAACAAAAGGATGCACCCTGCAAGCTTGCCCCTTGATCGTCAGCACACAGTCCCTCTCCCTCTCTGGGTCTAGAGTTTCCAGCCACTCCATCTCTCCACATCATCATCTCTGCCTCCATCTCTGTCATCACTGTTTTTCTGGGTAGGGTCTCAAATTCCGCTCTTCTTCCTTGGTGGTCCCAGGGGTCTCTGCTCCTGGTTTGCAAAGTCGAGCACTCCCCTCCTTTTGCTACAAAACATCTACCTTTACATTTCCACCCCTCACAGTCAGTCCTGATAGTAATTATTCACTATTGTACCACATGAGTGCTATCTCCATCTCCTTTCATCAGTCCCGCCCAGACAGATTGGATACTACTCAGTGAAGATTCTTCCTTCCTCTGCGCTCTCTGGATCTAACCTCCCTCTTGAAAGCCTGTAAGCCAGTCCCTTCTTGCCTTTGTATCCCCCCACCCCCACCCCGTTTTGGGTAGCCAATGTCCAAGTTGCCCATCCCTGTCTACCCTGTGTATTGAGGGGGTGGGAATGACCTTTACTGTAAAGATTTGTTCCCTCTTTTGAGCTACTGCATCCATAGATGTAGGTCAAGTTCATCAAACTGTATCAGATTACTGTTTTTCCTCTTCTTTCTTTTCTAGTTGAGCTCTGATCATCCAGCCATAGAAACCAGGCCAAGTGGGTATTATCTGCAAGTGTGGGTGTCCTTATGCATCTGCCCTCTCTTCTTATCAGCTGGACGCTTCACTCTCCACTCTAGTCCTCTGTGGCTATGTCACTGATTCTAGGCCCAGGAGTCCCCAGGTCTTGCCACACTGCTGACCAACCAGGTCTTCACCCGGGTTCACAGGAGTGTATTGAATGTGGTTGGACTTAGCTCGCAGCTTCATTGCTGTTGTTCCCTCAATGCCCCTTATCGGTGACCAACATAGTCACCAGTCACAGCACGTGTCTGCTCGTGTATTCCCATTGAGTCTTAGTCTTGGAAGGGAGTTTGCCCTGAGGGTTGACCACTTGCCTTGATGTCTCCTGGGCAAGCAACTTGCTTGTTCTTGTAGTAGTCAGTCAGACTGCCATTATTGTTTTGTATTTTCCCTGTAGGTCTTTCTTTCAAGAAGTATCTTCTAGCGGCTTGAGGCTGGTCTGCTTGTCCTTTCCAGTGGAAATATCCCACCTCAGAAGATTCTGGATGCTGTTCAGGATTCCACCTATGATCTTATGTAATGCAAAGGCTCCACAGGAAGCCTCCTTCACTGGGCATGTTGTAGCCCCATTTAGATGTTCCAATCAGTTATAGGCAGAAGACAGATTACACACTTTCCATAGTGATATTTTTGGCTATTCCTTTCTCTCCCCCTCATGTCTATTTTATAATGGTATGCACCTCCTTCACTTTTGTGGACTCCCTTGAAGATCCTGATTACAGAGCCCCTTATTCAGAATACCCAAGACTTGCTTCCTTGATTGCAGTGGGACTCCATCTCCAGGGAATTCTCTGCATTCTCATTTGTTTAACTTCATCATCTTGGATTTCCGCTCAATATTTTAAAAAAATTTTCTATTTTGAATGTTTAAATTTGGGGTGAGGAATTAGAGCAATGTGTTTAAAAACCGTGTTCATTATAACTCATCCAGAATCTAGTTTTAGGTGACAGATCTTTTCAAGGATCTATGGTGCTATGGGTTAATGAGCTAGACTGCAAAGTTGGTTTGAACCGAAAGGTTGGTGGTTCAAGCTCACCAGCTGCTTCTGGGTAGACAACAACTCGAAGGCACTTAACAACACCAGCTGTTGTTTTGAATTGTGGGTTAATGTGCTAGACTGCAAAGTCGATTTGAACTGAAAGATCAGCAGTTCAAGCTTACCAGCTGCTCTTGGGTCAGAACCAACTCAAAGGCACTTAGTAACAACACTGAGAACTCACCAGCTACAAGTTGGGTCAGAACCAACTTGAAGGCACTTAAGAACAACAACATTCTGCCATACTGGAGTCTTGGTGTGGTGCTACAGGATAAACACTAGATTGCTAACCACAAGACCAGAGGTTCACACCACCAGCTGCTCCTCTGAAACCTTATACAGGGTTGTTATGAGTCGGAACTGACTCCATTGCACTTAACAATAACAACATTCTGCCATACTGGAGTCTTGGTGTGTGGTGCTACAGGATAAACACTAGATTGCTAACTACAAGACCAGAGGTTCACACCACCAGCTGCTCCTCTGAAACCTTATACAGGGTTGTTATGAGTCGGAACTGACTCCATTGCACTTAACAATAACAACATTCTGCCATATTGCCAGCAGGGCTCAGCCTGTGATAATAAGGTCAGGACTCAGGTCCTGTAACTAGGTTCAGGTATGATCATGGTCAGAAGCTAGGAGCTCAAGCTAGGGCCAAGGTTCAGAATATGACCAGAATCAGGGATCAGTCTGAGGCCAGGGTTAGGGCTCAGCCTGTGACTGGGATCAGGACTCTGTAGCCTTGAACAGAAGCTGGTGAGTGGCTGGGCCAAATCCAGCAGCAGTTCTTGGGATTTTTCAACTGTTCTCTATGCTCAACTCTGATGCCTTTCCTGGACAGACAGGAGCTGGGCCTGTTGCCAGCTACCGAGGATAGCTTCCCTTAGGCCACGACTGCTTTCCTCCTTTCTTGCCCAGCATTAACGCAGGTTCTGGCGGACTCCAGGCTTCAAGGCTGAGGATTCTCCTGGGAAGCCCTTGGCTGAGGATCCCTCTCCTGGCCCTGAAGTCATCAAAACAACAGCTGGACCGGATGGGGGTGGGGCAGGTTGCTGTGGGGAGCCCTGCCTGCCTAGAGGGGAGCCCGGATGGTGCAGGCTGAGCTGGTTCCTTAAAGGTGTTCCCCAGCTTCCCAGGCCACCTTGAGGCCGCAGAGCTGCCCTTGGGATAGGGTGGGATCATTGCGCCTTGGCCCTAGACCTACCCACTCAAAACCCTGTGGGGGTTTTGATCCCAGAGGCTCTGGGATCTGCTTTTGGAGGGAAGGAAGAGCAGTTCAGGAACATGGCGGCAGATAAGTGAGGACCAAGGCCGAAGCGGGGGCTGACCCAGAGGGAAAGGGTAGAAGCAGGTTCTGGGGGCTGAGGCAGGAGGAAGGGGCTCAGTACCCTTGTCTTTGGCTCTTCCTCAGCTGTCCTCTCTTATAAGAGTCGCTCTTTCACGAGTCTAGAGGGTCTTCCTGCTCACCATCACTTGGTCAGGGTCCTAGGGAGGACAATATAAGTCTAAGGGGGGTTTAGGAGCTGTGGTTATAAGGTTTCCTTCCTCAAGGTCTGGGGCAGTCAGTGGACTTCTGCCAGCCCTTCTACCACCAGCCCCACCCCCTCCACCAGAGTCCACCGATTTCTCTGACTTCCCCACCCTTAGTCCAGCACAAAGTCTATGACAGAAGTCCCTCTCTAGGAGCTCTCTTGGAGATCCCAGCCCCCACACTCATGGCACCTCTGCGTCTCACACCCACGTCCGCCACCCTCAGGAGTGGCTCACCAGCCTTCCAACCCTCGGTGGGCTCACCTCGCAACACTCTGAAGGTCTCCTTTAGCTAAGAGGACCAGAGCTGCTGGGTAGTCAGGTGGCCCAATGGCGACCTCTGCCCTTAAAGACACATCTGGCCATACAGGCAGCGTCTCCATGGGAGCAGAGCAGGCTCAGTTCAATTCTGCAAGACTCAGTGTGATCTTGGTACGCTTCCCTGGTACCTAGGCATTGTCCCAGTTTTACAGATGAGAGGTTCAGGTGGTATTATTAC